ATGTTATAGTAGAGGCGTAGGCATGGGGATAATCTTACCAGACAAGCAAAAGGAGAGGCTGCTACCAACATTGCTTATTGATTGAAGTGAAAAACAAGTTAGTACAAAAGCTAAGTACCATCTAACTATATTGTCAATTTTCTACTACTATAGTTACTTAAAAATTGTTGCTTATTATAAATATGCTTCTTTTTCTTCTGATTTTACAGATAAAACTTACACAACAAAAGCTGGGCAGTCTTATTGCAGTTCGTGTGAGGCTGGATATAGTGTGAATACAGAAAATACGAAGTGCACCTTAAATACAGTTCATTACCTTAAATGGTCGTCTATGGTTACATTTTTTCTCATCTTGTTGGCAGCAGTGGGATTGATGATGGCCTTAGCGTGTCTGACTGTCTTCGTCAGGTATCGCAATACGCCAACGGTCAAGGCTACAAGCACGGAGCTGAGCTATGTGCTGATTATTGGGGTCATGTTCAGCTTCTTGTGCACGTTTTTGTTCTTCGGGGAGCCAACAGATTTCATCTGTAATGCACGCTTAGTAACGATGGGTGTAAGCTTCTCCATTTACGTTGGAGCATTGCTTATGAAGACCAACCGCATTTCAAGAATTTTTAATCGAAAATTATCAGATGGTAGGCCATCGATTTTCCTCAGCATCAAGGTAAGAAATGCGTTTGTTGGAACATTTGAAGGGAAAATAAATCCATTTGCTCATGTCATTATAGCTTGATACACACTAAAAGCAGTTCAGATGACAGCAGTGCCTGTCTCTTATACACATCTAGATGTGTATAAGAGACAGCATTTAGGCTGCTAAAATAAAATGCATGTATACTTTTAGACATTATTGTGTGTTAGTCCATGGTTGCAGGCTACCACCACCCAAATAAACGTAATCTGTATTGAATATCAAATTGTACAACACAAAACATTACATTTATTAACTTACCTTAGTTTACACCTTACCTTCAAGTACAGTTTTACCACTAGTCTCAGTATAAATAAAAATGAATGATAAAACAGAAAATAATGCAGTAGGTCTACTATAAGGTACTAAGTATAATAAGGCTGTTTGTCTGTTTGCCCTCCTCCTCACCTTCCCCCCACCTGAGAAAAAAATAGGGGTGGCAAAGCAAGAAAACTTTTTTCCTGCTTTGTTCTTTACATATAAAAAAAATGTGTTAAAAAAACTCTTTCCAACCAGCCCCTTTTTATCATTTAAAAAAAAGAAGGGCAAACAAACAATTTATATTTTTAGGACTAATAGACCGTCTCAACGGCTATTGCTTTGATAGAATCCACATTCCCTCTTACCTGAAAAAAAGAAAAATATTAACGAAAGCATTGGGCTTGAATTAGCTGCAAATAGACATACACCACGGCATAGATGACGACTCCAAACAATAGTGGGTGTGGGATAATGCCCATATGGCGCCCCATACAAATTTCGCCCGACCGAAATTATCGGCGGCCGAAGTCATGAGGAAATGGGCCCGATCGTCTTTGGAAAAATGGGCCCGAACGTCTACCCGCCGTTTTAGAAATTGGGCCCCGACAGTCTACATCGGTGGGCCCGATCGTCCACACTAGTTCTAGTAGGCCTAATTCTTATTTTTGTAGGCCTCCCTTAACTTAAATAAATGAAATCCTACCGTTAGCTGTGTGCTTGTTTACCCTGTTGAAATATAGAACATGCCGTCTTCCACAAGCCGTATCCCACCTAAGCCTAGGTAATTTTCTTTCTCTTTTTTTTTTGGTTTTGAAAGAGGTTTTTTTTGTGTACTGCTTAGCCATCATATCGACGTCGCTACTTGCAATGCACAAACTCGTACTCGTGGTTTGTGTGGTGGAAAACGTGTTTGTAAACAGCGCGTATATGCCTTGTTCTGATTGGTTACTTGGAAGTTTGATTGACAGCCCGGAATTTTTAACACGGTCGACTTCCAAGGGGCGTGGCTTAGCGGAAAGGTCCATTTGGCCGATGACTCGAGTCCGAATCTGTTAAAATTAAAATTAGCTGAAACGCTCTAAGAAAATGACGCTATTTTCATGATGCATAGATACCATAATGTAAGAATCATTAGGAAAACGACTTGGAAAAAACATGCTCCTGATAGGAGCATGAGTGTACTGCAGAAACTAGCGTTTGTTGACAATGCTACATCTCAGTTTAAAGGGGTCATTATTGGACAACGTACTATCAGCCATTGCTCATCTGTCCAAAAAACTACATTGTACTTTGAATGCCTGTCAAATAAAAATGAACACATGTCATTTTACAGAACAAATCCACTATTGTAAATGATTAACAAGGGTAATTCGAACATAATCAGTATTTTCATTATCCTTGGGTACCATAATGTAAGAGTCAACAAAAAAAAAACAAAAAAAAACGACTAGTTAAATTTTGGCATGAAGTGATGTCATCATGACCATATTTAGGCATGTCACATGTTTTGTCAAATAACAGTTGATAGTCTGGACAGGGCTTCAGTTTCTTTGGTTATTAGGATTTATTTAATAATAATAATAATAATAATAATAGGCCTAATACTGTAATAAAAACTTGTAATGCGCCAATTCCAAGAATAATGATCAAAGGCGCAGTGTATGTTAAGAAGGCAAGCTGTTAATAAAGAGATGAGTTTTAAAGTTAAGATTTAAATGTAATAATAGAGGTACCTGACCTAATGTAAGAAGGTAGTTCGTTCTAAAACAAATACAAGGCAGCAGATGCAAATGTTCGTTTGCAATATGTTGTGTGAAATTTTGGAACAGCGAGAAGATTTTGAGAAGATCGAAGGCAATGACTGGGCAAGTAGTGAGTAAGATGACTAGTAAAGTACACTCAGAACAAGTGCTTTAAACGTATTTTAATAATAAGAAAAAAATCATATTTCAGTCTGGAGACATACAGTAGGCTTACTGTTCATTTTCATTCATTTTCATACTTAATATTTATTTTCTTTCATTGGCATGAGTTACAAAAACAGTATACAATATCATGATAAAAAAAAAAAGAGAATAATAACATGCAATGAAAGAAGGCTCGGTCCCGAAAAGAGGAGTCTTGAGTTGCGCAAGCCTGAAAAAAAAAAAACCATATGAAAACTCGTTTTAACCGATACATTTCACTCAACCAAGTCACAAACTGTTTAAACAAAATACCACAGGGTTATATAGACCATAATTTCCCCATTTAACATCTATGAAGATTTTTCTATCCTACAAAATACAGTCTTTAGTCACATCACATTTTTTGTATGATGCTGAGTAGATGTTTTAAATTCTATTTCAAAACATGTTGACAGGCCTAAAAATATTGTTACATTCGCCAAGGAGGTTATGTATTCACTGGTGTCTGTCTGTTAATTACGCAAAAACTAATAAATGGATCATCATGAAATTTATTGGAATGGTACGTAATAATCGAAGACCCCTTTCAATTTTCAAAAGAAAATATCAAGGTCACATTCGATTTAATACCCTCTAGCATAAAAGATAATACGGAGCTTTCGATTGCACGATGACGGTAGGACGTAATGACGTCACTAAAAGTCATCTGCACATGCGAGAACGTTGGTCACGCATGAGTGATTCCGTTCTAGTGTCGCGCTGTCGAACAAATCAAAAGTTAGCCCTAATAATAGAATCAGTCAGCACTCGAGAAAACCATGTGTCTGAATACGACGGCTATTCCGTTATTTTGCCTGTTGCTGTATGCAGTGTCACCCATCATACACGACCTGCATATTGTTGGTACTGTATTCAGGCACAGGGCAGAGGTATGCATTCTATGGATTGACTGCTCTAGCTTTCTCATGAATTTTGTTCATCTATTATTTTTAGTTTTCTTCTATTATTAAACTTTGCTTTATGATTAGACATTGGATGCTAATACAAGTTTGTAACAACAGTAGCTCTTCATTCTGTCAAGTATACACTAAGGTTTCTGAGTTGTGCTATAGCTGAAATCTCAATATTAATTGTGAGGTTGTCGTGACAAAATGAGTCTTGTTGTATGCCAGGTCAATTTGATTGATTCAAGAAAATATATCTGAAGTAATATTTTATCAAAAATTGGGTTCCAATGTTTCTGATAAGGTTAATATGTATATCTCATGATAGCAAATGTTCTGATTTATGTTCTGAGTTATGTTAATTAAAGGCGTTTTTTGAAGCATTCTACATTGGCAGTACTCAACTAGGAATCTGATTCGAAGAACAATATACAACTCATTTTTTATTTTTTATACAACAAGACTCATTTTTTTAGGACAACTCAGAATGATCACTTAAAGCTAAATAACTAATAATATTAATATAAACCATTCTAAAGCTCTTTATAGTATAGCTTATTAAAAAAAAGAATTTTTCGTTATGCTAATTTGCCTGGATTTTGTTAGAACACATCGCATAATTTAAATTTATTCTCATCTGACATTATTTATCATAAATTAAAGTACTGTATGCACAATCTAACTATAGATTTTTAATTCTTAAAATTTTAACAGAAGATTTAGAAGATTTATTCAGCAGTCTGAGGAATGGTTATAGTTTTTCCTTTAGGATCATCAAACTTATCCATGACGGAGAGATTAGCCAGCATTCCGAAACCGAACGCCAGTATGATAAGGATTATAAGTGCTGTCACCAGTCCCATCCAGATGCCTTCGGTAAAAAAGCCAATGCAGTCATTAGGAAACGAAAATTTGTCATCCTTAATATCGAATGGTTGAAGCTGAAACGATAAAAAACAGAACAATACTTTAGTAATAAATCAGACAGTCTAATGTTGAACTTATCATTGAGCTTAATATCGTAAAACCTCGAATTGAAGTCCTAGGCTTCTTCTTTTTTTTTTGCGAACTTTGGATGGGCTTCCTTTCTAGATGGGCTACTTTTCGAGATGGGCTTCTTTTCGATTTTGCAAAGTAAAGAGAGGGGTGGGAGGATTCTCTTTAAAATGAATGCTGTAAATTTTGAAAATTTGTACAAGTAAACAATAAATAAGGTCAATGTAACATTAATTTGTATTATGGAAAGAATTTAACTGGCATTAAATCACCTAAACTAATGTATACACCAAGCTTGGTTTTAATTTATTTTGTTTTCTGAAATTCATGCACAGTGTATGTATGGTACTATCTCGAAAAGAAGCCTATGCTATTTTGGAAAGAAACCCATGGGCTTCTTTTCGAGGCTAATTTTGCAAACTAAAGAAGGGGCTTCAATTGGAAATGAGCTTCATCTCAAGATTAAGCCCACTGGGCTTTAATTCGAGGTTTTACGGTAGGTTAATGTAAATATAATTTATTAATATAAAAAATTTAAAAAACATTTTAACTTTCAGATTTTGTTACTGGCTCTGGCAAAACCAGCCAAAATTGAGTTTTTGGTATTTTTAGATTCTGCATGAATTGGTTGAGTATTAGTGAAGTTATGAATATTTAATTCATTGAATATCAGCCATGTAGGTTTTGAGGAAACAGCTTCCAAAGATTACAAAATTTTAATATACCTTTCAGTTAGGTTTAGTGATTGATATTTTGCAGAAATGTTCTTCAATATATGTTCTTTTATAAAATGCAAAAACCCTGAAAATGTTCTAAATTCTGATTCTCGAATGTTTTGGATGTTTGTGCAACAGACGGCGGGTTTTTCCAGTGCCAGACAGTCATAAATAAAAGTTATGAACTAAACAAAAATTATGCAATAGTAATGACTGATGATTTATATCTATATTAAATGGTATTTAAAAAAAAAACATTGTAAATACCTGTAAATCGTTAAATGTCACTGATTTTATTTGAAGGTCGTCATCATCTGTAAAGTTCGTCGCCTTGGCTTCTGAGACGACACAGTGGTAAGAGAATATTATCGGAGTTATAACAAATGACATATCTATATACTGGGAGATGTCCTCGCTTTCATTGTTAAATTTGATGGAAATCTTAGCAGGACTTGCAGTCCAGAAATCCAGACTGTCTACAGTAATAGTAATGCTGTGAACAAAAACAAAATTGTATATAGTTAAAGAATCTATTCATCACATAAAGTTAAGTGGATAACCAATAACCCACAGCATCATTGTGAAGAATTTATGCATAGGCATGGTCTGTACTTCTTTAAGTAGCTTCATTCAACTAAAACAGAGCAGTGGAGTCCTTATGGCAACCAAAAACCTGGACAAAGGAGGGCCTCAAACCAGCGCCCGTGTTACAGCTGTAGCAACAGTGCCCCTGCCTTACCCCTTGCCAACTTTTTAAGAGATTGCAGAAAGAATGTAAGTTATGAAAGTTGATGTAAAATAAAAAATGTCAAAGGTAATCGTGTATACTTACTCAAACCTAAAGCTTGATATTAAGCTGTTGTTGGTAATATTACTCGGGGACATCACTAGGCTGAAATAAAAGATAATACTGTATAAAATAAAGGGAGTTCAGAGAGGTAAATTGAAGACTGCCAAGCCAAACAGAATGTTATCTTGCATAAGGAACCTAGTGTTTTAGTACAGGTATCGAATACAAGCTCTTCGTAGCGATTGGGGCTGGGACTCTTAATCTTGAAGTCAGGGTTGTTTAAACACTCGCTGTGCAATTTTGCTTGTGTCATTTAGCAAGACACTTTATCTATATTTTTTTTCTCCACCCAGGAATATAAGTGGGTACTTGGTAAGATCTACTTCGAAGTGCTGATTCTAGCTGCTTAAGAAAAGGTTCTTCCCAAGGAACTGAAAACGTGTTCCATAGGTGTTTGGTCTAGTGATCAGCGTACTAATGTAAAAAGCATAGAAACAGTTTATGTATTTGGGCATTGAGTAAAAATCACATATAAAAAAACCAGGCCATTGCAGTTATATGCTAATGAATTGTGTAACTAAATATTAAATTACAAAAATATCAATGTAGAACTAATTGCAAATTTATTGCAATAATATGTACTGTATAAATGTTGCATTATCATTACTAGGGAGCCTTTGATTTGTGCGACGACGCGACGATAGAACGGAATCACTCATGCGTGACCACCCTACCTGGTGTCCTATGTTCTCTGAATACGTAGATTTGGCCAAATTGCGTCCTAGAATCCACGCGCGGATGACTTTTAGTGACGTCATTACGTTCTACGTCCTACCGTCTTCATGCAATTGAAAAGGTCCCTATTAACTTACTTGACAGTGTTTCCAGAACAGGAAGATCCAATTGTATCCCACTTCTTCACAGGCAGTGCAACAGTCGACTCATCCTTCATTCGAAGCGTGACGTTCTTACTGAAGAAGAACACTTGGCAATCAACGTGCGTATAATTTGCAAACACAAAATCATCACCACTCTCCTCATCTTCGCTTTCTAATATTTGTCTTCCAGTATTTATAGACATTTGGATATTATCAACGTGTAGTTGTTCCTAAAAAAAAAAAAATTAAAGTCACTTTTCAATTTATAAAAAAAAAAAAAAAAAGAACTTTTAACATAATAAATAATATAATATGTCGTTCTTATATAGCGCTTCATGCCTTTACAAGGCCTCTAAGCGCTTCACATTACAACCCCGGTCATTGGATCAAACACATATGGAACACATTGAAACACCAAATTAAATTAGTAAAAGAAATTATATTATCATTCCATAAAATGCAACTAGTAATCAGCGCAGGTTGTGTTGGAACCTACCAGGTACCCACTTGTACTCCTGGGTGGAGAGAGGCAACCGTAGATAAAGTGCCTTGCCCAAGGACACAAGCGATTTGCACAGCCAGAGTTTCGAACCCCCGACCTCAAGGTTGGGAGTCTAAGCCACAACCGGTGCGCCAACATCAATTAAACACTAAAGTGTCTACTCGTCATTATATTTCAAGCTAGATATCTTGGAACATTGAGAGAAATATGTCCAATCAGAATTGTTTTATTATTTCCCTTGTTTTGGTCTTCTGATCCATGTACTGTATTTATAGGCTTCACTATTGGTGTATTGCCTGTTCCATGGGATTCACTTATCCCTCTCTATGCGTGGTGCTGGTGTATCAGGATCTAAGCCAAGTCATTCATTAAAAATTATCTTGCTCCATCAAGAAGTATGCGGTTGGTCATATTTTTTACTTCTTGTGGAGGGGGCGCCATGAGCGTTTTCTTAAAACGGATACCGGCGCTTTACAAGTTTTCATTACTATCATTATTGTTCCTGCTTCTTGTGCTGTAAACTCCAGTTCAAACCCAGCCAGAGCTGTAATTTTCTGATCACTTGTCTCTTTGAATAACCCTCATATTGAGAGTTAGGCGGGCTAAGGACTATGTTTGTATATGCATTACATATTGTTAACATGTCAGGAGGTGCTGGACTGCGGTTGCCACGGCACCCCAGCCCAAGTTTCTGAATTTTAATGAGGACAAATAAAGAATTATTTTTTAAAAAAATTTTAAGTGTGTTACAATGCCAAATATTTCCTCAAGGAGTGGAGTATGTGTTAAATTCAATCAGCTGTTTACAACGTAACTTAAAATTTTCGCAATTGTCGTACCCTTTTGAAATTTTGCAGGATTGTATATCTATAGACATTGTGATTATATGTAAAATTTTAATTACAAATGTTTGTTTATTGCAAAGTTATTAGCGATATTCACAGATACGTTGTTTTGCCTCGGAAACATGTCAGGATCGGTATTGTTGCAAGTGCGACATATTTTTCGAATTTATCACGTTTGGGGTAATCATATGCATTATCTAGCTTGTGCATACGTCGCTGTTATGAAAACACCAATAACCAGTTGATTTCGCCTTGCCAAACTCCATTAGCTCAAAACAATGTTTGAATACCATTCCGAGGCAAAACAACTTTTCTTCATTGTAGATATGTTGTTTTGCCCCGTAATCTTGTAGTTACGTTATTTTACCACGGAAAACCACTAGGTTTTAAGTTTTGCGCTTAAAGATAGGTGGTGCTATCTCCGAAACGTCTCATTGTTGAGACCTGAAATTTTCACAGGTAATTCAGAAGTGTTTAATATACTCCCAAATGATATCTCAAAATCGGCAAAAATGTCAGTTACGTTGTTTTGCCTTGGGACGGCCGCAATGACCAGCGCAATAATGTGAAATGCATTATCTATCTGTACCTTGAATGTGGATTGCTGAGCAGTTAGGAGTGCTGTGTACGGGGCAGACATGGACTCCAGTTGCGAGGTAATTGCTGCCATCATTCTATCTGCGTAGCGTATCTCGCTCTCACGATCATTGCTGAAGAATAAAAAATGGTTATTAATATTATATCACTGTTGCAATAGAGCAATGGCATTGCACATTATTTTTATGTTATTATCTAACAATTATATTCATCCTGTGGCTTTATTCTTATTTTGTAACTGTAATATTTTTGTTGATAATTGTCTTTGACACTATCATCATTATTAATTACTGCCAGAAACTAAGTAGTTAAAATTCTATTAAATAAATTCTCACAGAGTTATCTGTTTACAAATGTTTACAGTCACATATTCATATATTCATTCCCAGTTATGCAGTTCACTCATTGTAATTGTTATTATGTTTGTGGCCATTTTAGATGAACATAAAACAAAGAGAAAATACTTCACTTATTATTCTTAATTTCTCACAGTTATCTGTTTACAGATGTTTATAGTCACATCATTTATTCATTCCCAGTTGTGCTGTTCACTCATTGTAATTTTTATTATGCTTGTGGCCATTTTAGATGAAGAAACATAAAACAAAGAGAAAATACTTCACTAATTATTCCCATAAATTAATGTCATATGACCAATTATTATATACCTGCTAGGTAATGTCAGCTGGACAATGATAACATTTGTCTTGCCATTGTCCAGTGGTTGTTCACTGATGGATGGCTCTGATGTTTCAATCACATGACCATTAACCTTTGAACTCAGGTAAGCACTTAGGTCGGATGAATCAGCTGATGGTAGAATAAGGGATGATTTTGATGATTCCAAAGCAGCCTGTGGATAATAAAAAAAATATTATTATAAAGTTTATATTTTGCAAATTGAAAGAACGATCAACTTTACCCATAATATTATTGATTACTTATAATAATATTGATGGTGATCTCAAGGCACATTGAAGCCTATCACATAACATGGTAGCATTATATATATGCCAGTGTCAGACAATTCCATTTTTTTTAGGTAAGTTACTAAAAGGAAATTAGCATATATATTGGTTCATCCACATATAGACATCACTACTTCTGATTTGTGTAATGTTTTTTTAAGTTGTTCTGTTTTCTATTATTTTACCATACTCACCCTTAGATTGGTGAGGGCACTGCCTGTACTATCCTGGTTGTATGCGTCGCTGTACTTAGTAATATCGTCAATGCTAAGCTGTAGAGACAACAAAAGTGTATGTATTTAAGTCTTTGTTGATGCAGTGCTAGAGTGGAGGATTATGAAAAAATCCTCATACACATATTCATAAAACAGGCATACAACTGTGTGTATAAAAATACCCTATCAAACCTAGCCCATATATAATAGTAACAATGGCCGACTTATTGAGCGCATATTGTGGAGATCTCTATGCGCTTAACATACAGTACATGAAAAAAAAGAGACCATTAAATTAATACTTTATTATATATATATGTATATGCAGTGCTAAAGTGGCTGTCTCTTATACACATCTAGATGTGTATAAGAGACAGTGTCAGGATTTTGATGATTCCAAAGCAGCCTGTGGATAATAAAATAAATATTATTATAAAGTTTATATTTTTCAAAATGAAAGAACGATCAACTTTACCCATAATATTATTGATTACTTATAATATTTATGGTGATCTCAAGGCAAATTGAATCTTATTACATAACATGGTAGCATTATATATATGCCAGTGTCAGACAATTCCATTTTTTTTAGGTAAGTTACTAAAAGGAAATTAGCATATATATTGGTTCATCCACATATAGACATCACTACTTCTGATTTGTGTAATGTTTTTTTAAGTTGTTTTGTTTTCTATTATTTTACCATACTCACCCTTAGATTGGTGAGGGCACTGCCTGTACTATCCTGGTTGTATGCGTCGCTGTACTTAGTAATATCGTCAATGCTAAGCTGTAGAGACAACAAAAGTGTGTATTTAAGTCTTTGTTGATGCAGTGCTAGAGTGGAGGATTATGAAAAATCCTCATACACATATTCATAAAACAGGCATACAACTGTGTGTATAAAAATACCCTATCAAACCTAGCCCATATATAATAGTAACAATGGCCGACTTATTGAGCGCATATTGTGGAGATCTCTATGCGCTTAACATACAGTACATGAAAAAAAAGAGACCATTAAATTAATACTTTATTATATATATATGTATATGCAGTGCTAAAGTGGAGGATTATCAAAAATCCTCATAAACATATTCATAAAATAGACAAACAACTGTGTGTATAAAATTCCCTATCAAACCCATCCCATATATAATACTGTAGTAATAATGGCCGACATTTTGCGCATATTGTGGAGACCCCATGCACTTAACATACATGAAAAAAAAAAGAGAACATTAAATTAATACTTTATATACTGTAGACACATCCCAACACAATGGAGTATGTATTATTATACTATCTTACACATCACATTGTCATTGAAAAAGAAGCTCACCTTGTCAATAATAAACACACATATGTTGTTGGGTCCTGCACTGATTATCCTATCCAAGTAGTCTTTTTGAAGTGATACTGTGTTTACAAAGTGACCAGCAGGAATTGTTGGAGTATTTGCCAGTGCCCTAAATAGATTAACATATTTTTTAAGTTATTTTTTTTAATTTTCAGCAATATATTGATACTCTGTACAGTAATTAAGTTTATTTCAATGTAAAACAATGTGATCAATAATTAAATGCTGTTAATGAAAAATAAAGAACTATTTTATTAAAATAATTTCAATAAACAAAGGATGAGGCTTGCATGAAAATAAGATTATCCATTTATGTATTAAATGTTAATAAATTAGGCCTAGATGTTTTTTTAATGCACAGAAAACGCCTTCTCTCATAGGGCCTAGGTCACTGCCATGCAGACATTAAAATAGGAATAGTAAAACACATCTGTGTTTGTTATAGCTTTTTGAGATATTTAGATTACTACCAAGAATGAAAAAAAAAATGTATTCTGATTAATTATTAACGATACTACCAGTATTACTTTATGTTATTAGTAAACACAGCTGTTTTCAGCAAATAAAAGTATTTAAAACAAAACAGTTCACATTGCTGTTTATAACATAAAAGTTTGTTTTTTTTCAATAATTATTGACGATTGAATGCAACGTTAAAAATGAATTAATACATTATTTTTCATTTTACAACAATCATGCACTCAATCAATCAATGAATCGTTACAATTATTATTATGGTACCATTCCAACAGTCGTTCAAAAAGAGATAATAATTAATAAAAAGGGTGTGTCTCTTGAGTACAACACAAGAGTAGTAGTAGGCTGGATTTTTAGACATGCACAATTGTTGTGATTTACCCAAAAGAAACACTACTGCTGGCTGCAAAAAACATTATTTTGATAAAACTTTGGCTATCCTGGACTGGCCCTATTACTGCACATAGAAAAAATGTTAGATTATATCACTCCTGCCCACGTCAAAAAATGTGGGAAATTATTGATGCGGGAATAAAAACAAATTTTTGCTGCATCATTTTAATAATTCAACAGTTTAAAAAAAACAATACAATTTTGTGACTGGAAATATAGTTTTTATATAATATTTACAATATTCTTGCCAAATAAACACAGTCCCTCCCTCGTCAATTAAAAAAAGCAATATTCTATTGGTCTGATAAGAAAAAAAAAACTGCCCACCCTCATCACCATCACCCCACAGCCTCACTACTGTTCTTGTTCTACCAAAATTTTAAAGGTGTCCAGCGTCACCAGTTTTGAACGGACATGCAGGAAATTTTGTACACATAAACTACAGGTGATTTCCAACAAATGTTCATCACCCTTTTTTAAGTTGGATCCCAGGGTACCCCCCCCCCCTTACACCTACAAAACAAAACAGGGGTTTCAGCAAGGACTGTACATTACTGCCATTACCACTAATAGGGCACGTCGCATGGATGGCGCGGTCTTTTACGGATGTGTTCTAAGAACTTAAGGTTGTTAGTTTGAATCGCGTCTTGCAATGCCCTAGCCCGAACAATTTTTCTATTGGGTCCACAAAGAATGGGTCCACATTTAAAAAATAGGTCCAGATTTCTCATATTTTGTGTAAAATGGGTCAATTTTTAAGAAAATGTTTCCAGGTTATTCATATTTTTGAGTAAAATGGGTCAACTTTTAAGAAAATTGGTCCACATTATTTTCTTTTAAACATAAAGTGGGTCCACCCTGATATTTTCTACACAGTTTGAAAATCCTGGCTACTGCATTGGTGTCTTGGTATTCAATTTATTTTTTTTCCAATTTTAAGATATTTCAATTTTGTACAAAGGAACATTCTAAATAATATTTTTTTTTGTACAAATAAACATAATTCTTTAAAAATTCTTCCAAAAAACCCAATAATAACTTGTGCCTGTACTGTATTTAAGCGTGGAGGAATGCGTGGACCGGTGAGCGGTTGCTCTTGTTGTTTTAAAAAGAGTGATAATCTAATAATCTGTTCTAGTTCCCTTATATTATTAGTAGTACTAGTAGGTGTACAATAATGTAAACTGTAAAACTAAAAAGTAGCAGCAGCGAGTGTAACAGTTGTGATGGGTCCTATCTAAAAGAATTCTCTTGGCTAGCCTACTGTAGGAGAGAGCTCTTTCCAGGACTAATCCTAGGCGACTAGTTAGTAGGAACATGGAGGAATTAGTTTAACTAGGCTAGGCCTAATTCCTCCATGGTACTCGGTAGGAAGGAGCCCGCCCGCCTAGGTTAGGTGCATATTTAGGCCTACGCCTAGGCCAGGCTACAGAAACTTGACAAGTGATAGTATTGAATCATTTTATAAGCGATACCAACCGAGTATTTGCCCAACCGATCACTGGAACGTGTTTTCCAAAGACTAGTGTAGCTAAATGACAAACTAAAATAGCAAATATACTTCTTTCCATTTTTAGAGATATTATCACACACAGCTCCTCCTCTCAGCCTGGCCTTCTTGCTAGCCTTTTAATAATTTCAGTCACATCACATGATATAAAACCATGTCAAGAGGTCATATAGAAAATGAATATTCATCATCCAGATCCACTCAAGCGAAACATTATCGCTGATGGCGTTTTGTAAGGTTTCCAAGCAACAGTAACTACCGTCGTCCGGGCTTCATAAACTTTGTTTCTTTTTTAAAATTTTGTTCAAGTTAAGGCAAGCGAGAAAACAATATTTATTGTGTTTATATTATCTCATTATTTGTATCTTATTAACTGTTCCAATACTTGATGTAACCTAGGCCTAGACCTGAAACATACAAAGGTTTTGTGCATCAAATCAGCGCACGGACGGGGGTGACAGAGGTCGAGGAGGAGGGCTACATGGCTGCTGCTACGGCAGCTGCAGTGCATTGCTAGAGAGTGGTGGTAGGCCTAGCCTAAAGAGAAGCCGAGCTAGCTAGTTTAGGCCTCCCTCTATTGGAATTTTTTGGATTCACTACTGAGTAATATAATTATGCTTGCTAGGTCCTACAGTATAAAACTAATATTAGTAATAGGCCTATTACTATTATTATTATTATAATTATTTGGCTCTCTAGGCCTAGTTAGGCCTAGCGTACTATTACTAGGCCTAGCTAGCCGAATAACAGATCATTTCGCCTAGGCCTATACTGCTTTGGATATCTTATTATACATTCGCGGTCGCGCCTTCGGCACTCCATACACCGGGACCGAAATGCATAACCAAAATAGCGCGACCGAAATGAGGGGGCGACCGAAATGATCGGATACCAGCTAGCCTAGGCCTACTACTACAAAAGGCCTACAGTCAATATGTACGCTATTCCTAGATGCATACATGTAGGTAGTTCACTCCGAGCTACCCCACTGCAGAGGCTGGCATCTACCAGTACCAAGCCTGTGTGGCCTTTCTCTGGGCCTAGAGATAGGCCTAGACTCGGGCCTAGGCTAGAATTAGCGTCACGGTATGCTCAAGACTTGTTTATTTTCCCCAGCGATGAAGGATACTATCGAGCATGCGCTAGCGATCGTCGTAAGAATAGCATTGTGTGCTATCTTCATGACTCATAAAAATAGCCACAGCGTATATTTTCTTGGGGCCTAGGCCTAAGCTGTCTGACGGAAGCTGAGTGAGATAAGGATAGCTTTTTGGCGAGGACCAATCCCAAGCCCAGTGGAGAGTTTCCGAAAATGAGATAAAAAAAAAAAAAATAAGGACCTGGGTGACCGGAAATGGCACTCACAGAGTCTGAATCCATCCTCAGAACCACACAAACTGTAGTAATAATGGGTTGGTATAACGTGCCAATGGCCGCAATTATTGCATCTTTAGTACTAGGCCATAGGCGTTAATTTGTTTTTCTATTATACTTTATCTTCCAGGTTTTTAACTGATTTGCAAACACAATGTCTGGGGTAGTATCCAGAGCAGAGACTGGAACACCACATTCATTTGCTTCAGCAGATAAAAAGTCACGTAAGTATGCAAGGAATAAACGTAGGCTGCAGCTTCCTAGACCTAGTACTACATAGGTAGTATATAATAATGATCCATTATGGATTAATAAATTAATAATGATATCTAATGTAAAATATTATGATGTCAAGAATATAAAAATTAATGTAAATAAATATGTAATTTATTTTAGAAATTGAACATTAAATTAATATTTATTTCAGGTGCTGGAACCACTTCTCACCAATCTGGTCGTGTCACCTTTCCACAAGCTGTAAAATCTGAAACAAGTTCAGCACTTGTTCGTAAGTAAGATTAGAAATAGGTACTTTATTAAGGTGTTTTCTGTTACTGTTATATTCGAATAAATAAAATATAAAATCAAATTCTAAACACATTATTTTTTATTTAATTATTTTTACCTCCACACTGACTACATTGTACTCTGTAGTGTTCATATCTATTGCTCCTCATTTATGGCCTCACAATCAAACAAATTTCACTGAGACATCTTTTTTACTAATGTTCACTATTATATATTCAATATTACAAGTTATATACAATCACATTCAAGCTTTGAACATGTTTCTATCCAAAAATGCTTCTTTCTAATTCGCCTAAAGTCTTAAAAACATCTCAAAGTACACAGTAAATCACAGGTCACTTTGAGTATTGTACTGGTCAAGTTCATGCGTCAAATTCCCTTAACAAGTTTTAAAGGTAGTTTAAAAGAAATGCAACATTGACGATATGCATAGTAATATATAGTGAGGAAAATAATAATATCATTATCAGTACGTATCACAGTATTGGTTTTAAATTTATAGTTTTATTTGAATTTAAAGGTGATAGCGTCTCCTAAAATTTAAATTTTGTAATAATATTTAATAAATTGTAATTGAAAACATAATTATCTGCTTGCTTGCCATCTAAATATATTTGATACATATTTCGTCAAAACATAAATATATTTTACTTTACGTTCCTAATAGTGTCAATCAATCAAACTCAATCAAGTAACTTTTATATGTTATTTGTGTCTACTGGTCTGATAATTAGATATGTGGACCAGTCCACTCTTGACCACCACCCTCAGTGAGGTAATTTCCATCCGCAACGAGAAAAGGGGTCCAGTTGTATATCCACTCGAGGAAATGCAAGAGATTGAAATTACTATGCGGACAGTGCGGCACGCATTGGGGTGTACCTACGCCCATTGACACAGAGTTTTTCTGCTGATCTTGGAAAAAATTATTTTTATATAATTTGTTAATATACTTACCATTTTAATTAAAGGACATGAAGAATTGCCACCTGATCACAACCCTTTTACGATGCCCCATGAAAATGACATCTTTATGCTCAGGGACAAGGAAAGGCAAAGAAAAAAAGCAGTAAGTATCAAACTGAAATACTATTCATTTATTTATAACAAACATACATACAGTACACCAATTTTATTATTCAAACCCCTGATCCTAAAGGAAACCCAAACCAATAATGTTGTGCCAACCACATTAATAGTTGAAAGGTCACAAATATTTACAGCTTTTGAATATTGCATAATTTGTAGGAGAGGATCCATCAAAGAGGGTTGAAGGTGCATGAGAAGACCACATATGCCTCGCGTATTAATGCGAAGACATCTTCAATGAGGAATCCGGTAGCAGATATAGAAGAGGATCTGAGCGAGGATGATAACGCCGATGGTGATGACAAAGCAGTGGCAGTCAAAGATGATCCCAGTTACACACTAGCTGTCACTCGAGGTTAGCTCAATTTCAAGTGTTACTTTTCAAGTATTTTATTCACCTGGCTGGTGCCTAAATTCTAAATTAAGCAGTATAGGCAGAACACCTCTGCCTTCTGTCACCCCTGTGATGCATCAATTCAATTTTCATTCTTTTTTCCCCTCACAGAATTGTATCTTTTTGTAAATCTTTGTGGTTTATTTGATGGTGGATTCTCATAGGGATGGGTGGGGGACTTTCTTAGGGTGGAAGTTTTTTGATGATCAACAGTGTACAGTCAACTGAATCTGTTTTTCCTTGGTTCTGGGATCTAATATATACAGTATATACCTAGCTGGTGTTATGTGCAGGTTAGCACTCTTTCTAACAGTGGGTTGCTGGACCCCAATGCATCAGTAGCATAGTAGCATATAATCTTGCACATCCATCGAAATTTCATATTGTGTAAATGACTATAAAGTAATATCCTATCATAATTGTTCAATTATTTTGTTGTTTATGACTAAACCATTATACCTTTTTCCTTGTATTCTTTTGCAATGAAGTCATCTGTTGCCAGATTCTCATCATAATTTTCTTTTTTAGATCGCCATGTTGAGAAAGAAAGTCTTACAGATTACATTGCTAAAAAGCGGGAGATGTTTCTAGTTCAGTACTCACTCGGGGTTAAACGGGACGAAATGAGAAAGCTGGAAGAAATTGCACAAGCTGAGGAACGGAAACTGGAATTGGCAGAACAGTACCTGGAAGAGGATGCCGCTATGTTTGATGAATTCCTGAAGGAAAATGACAAGAATTCTGTTGAGGCCATCAAAGTGTAAGCTCAAATTTTATACAGTTCGCTCTCCAATTCGAGACCACTTTGTTACCTGAAAATTTTGGGTGGTCTCCACTTAGGATTAGCTTTTTGTTAAAAGATTATTGATTGTTATTTGGTTCTTAGAAAAGTGGTTGAATTAGAGGGGTCTTGTAATTAGAGGGGGTGCACTGTTCATGTATCTATGTGCCTATGTGTTAAAGTGCAAAGTGTTTTTAATAATCTGTTGGAAGCACTGTTTATAGGCCTATGATCAGAACATTGTTATTGTCATTTGTGTTTTTTTATTCATTCATTTATATTCATTTATTCATTCATTCATACATTCATTCATTAATGATATATTTGCTATAATTTTCTTTAGGTTATTTTAGATTATTTGTTAAATTTCAAAAACATTTAATTAAAAGACATATAAATCATATTAACAAATATGAAAAAAATAATATGACTTATACTATATAAACTCCTCATTTTATAAATTTATTCAAGTGTAGAAAGTACCATATCATAATTTCATCAAGGTTTATGCAAAGACTGTTTTTTCTTCTAGAGCTGAAGCAGAAACCAAGGCTAAACTGGAGAAAGTTAATGAAATCAAGAAAATTAATGCACAAATCATGCTGATCAGGAGGTAAGATAAACATCGCCCTCTAGTAACTTAGTAGCTGATTTCTCACTCACATTACATTCTAATTGAAAAACCGTTTGGGCAATCAATATTGATAATAATGCAATGATTCTTTTTGTTGCAGTGGAATACTTGACCCTTTATTCTGTTAACAGTACTTGGTTTAGAAACTTGGTTACAAATGGAAGTATTTCCTTTACTTTTGATTTTTGTGCATTTTATATAAGAGCTTATCAAGTGGCAACATAAAATATGAAATAGGAGAATTTCTTTATGTCAATGCATCACACCTTGCACTGATCATAATGAAATATTTACCCCAATCAAGAGTCTTTTTTTAAGGTGTTTTTTTTTTAATTATTTCCTCTTCTTTTATTTTGGATGTGTTTTTGTTTGTAAGATTGGATTTGTTTTTCAGATATGAATAATTAAAGAAAAAGAGTAAAAAAATTATACTATGCGGGAAAATCTCAAATATATCAATTGTATCTTTTGTGATTATTAATCTTTTATTAGATAATTGTCTTGACATTCTTAGCTTCAAAACATTAAATGAGCCTACACTCAATATAATAACTAACTAATCACAGAATTATGATGTACATAATGATGACATATTTAAAGTTTAGCCAGTAAAATTTGAATGAGAAGTAATTTCATGCTATATCACCTTAGAATAAGTTCATATAAACAAATGTATAACAATAAAACTCTATGTTTGTATGTAGTGAGATATCAAAAAATGAAGATCTACTGAAAGAATACCAGCTGTATAAGAAATTCCTGGACTCACTTACTCCAGAAGAATGGCTGAGTGAAAGGAAAAAGCAAAGACAAGAGAGAAGGAAAAAGAAGAATGCAGACAGAGAGTCTATATCATCAGCAGGTAAAAAGAAAGGTAAGAGAGAGAAGTTGAGTTCTTATGGGATCTTTCAGACTTACGAGAATATTCCCAGTAGCTCCATCTGTGTGAAATGAACAGAAGGAAACGTAACGCATTCCTTGTAGTAATACCGAAATATTTCTGTGCATTCTGGCATGTATGTCTGAAACAAAAGCATATGGCATTCTCACTAATACCCTATTCAGATTACACTCTTGCGATCGGTTGCGATGTAATCGGTGGTAATCCAAAACTGATTACTCCCGATCGCAATCAACGAACGCATTCAGACCAACACAAACAAACTTTACATTCTAGGGCCTAGGCCTCCGGTTAGGCCAATGTTGCCTGACCTCAGCCAAACAGTGCCTGTGGAATTCGTTGTGATTCGTTGTGATCAGATTCCGTGGTAATCAGGAGTAATAATGATTGTAGCACCCAATCGCAATGGGTAACAATTGCGATATCGATTACATATCGACTACTATTGGTGAGCTTTTACACACGATTTTACTTTGCGATTGGGTGTCGCAATTGCTACAACCGATCGCAATGCGATGCTAGTCTGAATGGGGTATTATACTACTTCTTATTCAGCACTTTTATGTTTTGGCTTAATGAGGAATGGAGAAATCATCCATTAAATTTTTTTTGTTTAATACCGCGCTTTATTGCAATTGAGCCATATAAAGCCTAGTTTCCTTAAAATCGCTACACTGTCGCTGATGCAATTATTAGGCTCCCTGATTCAATCGACAAATCACCATCACCAAAAGCTGTCAACGATATCGTGTAGCAATTGCATGGAAACTAAGCTTAATAAGCACTTAGTGCTTTCTACTGGCCCAGAAGTTACAGGCAAGTTGAGGCAAGTTAAAGATGGCAAATTGTATTATTATGGTTGTCTCTGAAACCGGGATAAGCAGCTTTATCTGCCATGTATCGGAGTATGTACTTTTATTTAACATTTTGTCTTAAAATTATTGTTTACCGGTTGCATTTCAAATCAAACCGATGTTTTAAATATCTATACACATGAATTTCTTTAATTTCTATCAGAAACAGGAAGTATAAGATCATCAGCCTCAAGAAATTCATTGAAGAAAGGATCTGCAGGGAAGAGGTAACTTTTTACTAAGCCATATATTAGGATAAATATAATAATAACATGATTTCCTACGACCATGATGCAACAACACTTAGCATAGACTTGCCACAAGTCCCTAATTTATTGACTTTGTAGCGTTAGATAATTTTGAAGAGCGCCACCAGCATCTGGTTTTGTTATGTTATTTGAATTTGGATGGGAATTAGAAAATGCATATTATGGAATGCCATGCAGATATGTAATATGGAACGCCATTGGTGCCAAAATAGATTTATTTTTAATAGTTTTCACTGATTACGACAAAATTAGGGGCTGGAACTCAGTCTACACTTAGCATGACAGGTGTTTTTTAATGACAATATATTCAGACTATCACAGATGGTTAGCGGACAGGCAAGCGCTTACATAGACCACAGACAAATTTGTTGGCCCAGATAATGGATTACAACAGGCTTAATCTTGAGATGGGAAAGGGTATATTTGTACCTCACAGGGCCAAGTCAAAGACCACTGGGCTCATTGACTAATATTTATTAACAGTGTATTCCTCATTACTGATTTTATGTTTCTTCTTTATTTTCAAAGGTCTGTGACTAAGGTTCAGATTGACACTGAAAGTCAGAAATCTGATTCTGATTACAGTACAGATGAGGTAATTTTAAATTCAAGCTAATTTACAGAATCTTGAAGGTTAACAATCAAGCTAATTTACAGAATATTGAAGGGTTAATAAGCAAGCTAATTTACAGAATCTTGAGAGGTTAATAATCAAGCTAATTTACAGAATCTTGAGGGGTTAATAGTCAAGCTAATTTACAGAATGTTGAGGGGTTAATAATCAAGTTAATTTACAGAATCTGGAGGGGTTAATAATTAAGCTAATTTACAGAATCTTGAGTGGTTATATTAATCAAGCTAATTTTCAGATTTTGGAAAGGGTATAATAACCAAGCTAATTTTCAGAATCTTAAGGGGTTAATAATCAAGCTAATTTACATAATCTTGAGGGGTTAATATTCGCAAGTCCTTACACTATAATAAAGAGTTTAGAAAGAGAAGAGAGTTCTTGTGTGAACAAACCTAACTGCTAATTTTACAACAATGTGACAGTGCTCCCTGCAATCTGTTATTGAGTTGTACCAATTCATACCTCAATGATTTGTCTGTATTGTAATGTTTATTTGTTCTCCACACAATCGATCATGCAAACACTTTAAGTACCAAGTTGCTGTGAGCGCACTTCTATTCCAAGTTGCACCAGTGTTTCTCTTTAACCAGATTGCAGTGGGTGCACATCCATGGTTTAATTATGAGTGTGAAAGGTTTCTATGCAGAGTGGGCTCCATTTTTTTTTTAACGCTACTATTTTGTAATTGTCAAATGGAGAGCTCAGGATACCAAGTGTTGGGCCAACATTTTGTAGTCCATTTTAGAATTGAAAATTTGGAATTTTTGATAGTCAAAGCCCCTGTGCCCCACTGGACACCACTGGATATTCAAACATTTTACAGTATTTTATTTTTTTATAACTTCTTCCTCTTCTTTGCATTTTTGTTTAGGAACCTGAGTTGTTTTTCAAAGATCCTCAACAGTTGCTCGACATTTTCCAGGAGCTTGAGGAGCAGAATTTGTCACTGATTCAAAACAGTCAAGAAACCGAAGAATCGTTAGAAGAAATACGACAAACGATACAAACTACACATGCTAAGATGTATGTATAAATACTGTCATTGTTGTATCTAGGAGTCTTGAAGTAGGCGGCTGTTGGGGTGGGGGAACTCAATCATTAAGTGAGGGGGCATTAACTTGCAAAGTACGGTGTGTTACTGTATACTGTATATGAGGTGATTTTTTGACTCCTTGAGCATGATTCTTTTGCTTCAAACATTTTCAATAGGAGGGAGGTCTAACTAGGAAGCTTTTTTAGGGGGGGGGGGGATATGCCACTGTATAGTGTTTGTCTGGTATGCCTAGATATTTTAACTGATCAGTAGTGTTTTCAAATACCACTGTGCAACACTACAATATTTTTTTACCTAATCATAAAGTTTTCTGAAGATTGTGTAACTTTCCTTTGTTGTAGGGATCGAGAGACAGAAATTCTGAAAGGCCAGATAGATATGCTGAAAGGGACTATTAACCGGGAAGAAGAAAAAGCAATGGAATTAGAACATAAATCAAAGTAAGTCAAATTCACAGCCTTTTATTTTCATTCTACTAGTTATTTTTATACCTACAGTTCTCTTGTTAAATATTATGTTCCAGTGTTTCACATACAAGATTTGGTGGCTTGATTAAGTTTCCCTTTAGCATTTTATGATGATTAATTCTTTCATAATTTGACATTGAATCTAAGGTCAAGATTAGATGTCAAATTTTGATTAGATGATAGACTTGACACCTTGACTTCTGATGAATAATGCCCTACAGAAACTAAAATATAATGAAGTATTTCATATTGGAAAATTATTTTTAGCCACTCCAAAATTGTTTTCTATAGCTTTCATTCTTTTTATTTGTTTTTGTTGCTATTATGCATTCACCAAACAACAGAATAATAGCAAACCTAAAAATAATACTTTATACTGTAATGTTAGTTAAATACAAATTAAAGTGTCAATGAAAAGCATTAATACTATTAATATACCTAGGCCCTAACCTAGTACATATATGTGTACATTATATACTTTTTTAATAACACAATTCAATTTTCCTCAAAATCATAGCAGAAGTTTGTTGGTTCAAACCATTTTAAAGTCACCACTAAGTAGGTACTCTTCACAAAGGCTTTTATAAAAGGATTTCTTGATGTGGAGTAGAAAATATTATTGTGCATTACAAGTTTTTATTATTATTATTATTATCATTATTATTATTATTATTATTATTATTATTTTTATTATTATTATATCTCAGTTTGTGATTTTAACATTTTTTTTAACTTTCTACCTATATAAAAGGATGTTTTCATTTGGAGAGTTCAAGTCAGAAGATCAGGTATGGTAATGTTTTGCATATTTTGATATTTATTATTTGAGGCATGCTATCCCAAAACCAGTGTACTCTTGCTAGATGTTAAACTGAGTAATTAGCGTGAGAATGTGGCAGTATTGTATACTTTGATACAGAGAAGCTGTAATACTTTTACTCATAACTTTGGCAATAGTAAGTAGATTCCAGTAAATGACCCATCCAGTGGCGCCGAGAGGCTGGGTCGTACGGGGCAAGGGGCCGGGGAAGATAGGGGCCTGGGCTGCTATGTAAAAAAAAAATTTTTTTTAACAAATTTAAATAAATAAACATTTGAATAAAAGAAAGATAGCTTTGACTTTTCATGTTTTTATAGGCCGATTTTATTGATGAAATTAAGCACTCTATAATCAATTAAATTTAGTCCTCTAATCCTTTAAAAAGCCATAGCTTCGGGGGGACTTTGCTTCACCCCCACCGGGCTCTGCCCTTGGGCCCCACTGGGGCGGTTTTCCACAGACCTCCAGCCAATGGACCCATGCAGCAAAGCTTACCTGGAGTCCACAGTCGCTCTCGGCGGCCCTGGATCCATCATCTTAAAGCTTACAATGTGGAGAATAAGAATATATTAAAAAGTCAATTTTTATTTTTTGGTCACTGGTGCAGGTTTTGGAATGGCAAGCCTCATTTTGAGTATCATATTGCTTAATTTCATTGATTAAAATTTACTTAATTGCAATGTTTCAAAGAATTTTCTGTTCCAATATGTACTGTTTATATAGAATGTTTAAATTAACATGTTGTATGTAACATACTTTTCACAAATATCCTAATATAAAAAAAATATATATATACCTTTTTCAGGAAGCTATGTTAGATGCTTTGAACAAGAAGGTAGAGGAAGTTTACAGGAACACCATTGGTGACAATGAAGCTAACATAAGGTACAATGATACTATGTAGTATAGCGATTTTACCTACAAATTCATAAGATGACTGAATCATTGTAACTCCCAATGTTATTTTCCTATCAGCCATTCACTAATTTTTCGTTAGTGCACAGTTTGCTTCATCTTTTTGTCGGTTCATATGCAAAAGGTGAATACATCTTGTACAGTATGTATCATGCTTTGCAATGAATTCTAAACTAGTGTTTTTACACCTAGAACTACGATGTGTACCTGCAGAAAGAGGGCAGACACTTGCCTAATTGTTTTTTTTTGTTAACAAATGGTAATGGAAAAATGATTCTTGTAAAACAAGGTTGATAAGAACCCGAAGAAAGAAGAAAGTTACTACAAGTTCAATATTATGTATGGAAAATTAAGGAATTCCTTGAAACAGTTTACCCTTTAATAAACTAAAGAAACAGAACATTTAATATTAATATTCTAGATCTATTTTAAAGTAGTCAACACTAGGTCTGATTTTGGCTACTGTTGTGAAACAATCATCTCAATTTGGTCTTTGTGTTTTGTTGTTTTCAGCACTCTGCAAATGCTTACTAACATTGAGAATCGACTTGAAGAACTGTTTGAAAGTATTGAGATTATGCCTTCAGAAAAAGTAGAAGCTGCTGAAAAGGTAAATATTTATTATGTTCCTGATATACAGATGTAAATCCGTCTGAAAGAAAGGAATTTTTGGGCTCCTTCTTGTGCTTATACTCATCTGCTTGTATTTTTGTTCATAGGCCAAAGAGAAGGAGAGGCGATTGCGCTTGAGGGAAGAAAAGTTAGAAGCTCAGAGGCTCCATCAGGAAGAGCGTGTCCGAAGAGCATTGGAGAGAGCTCAAGCTGACCCAAAGAAATCTGTGAGTTATTATGTCAGAAATATTAAGTTTATAAACAAATTACAATATGCTGTACTTCAAAGAACTGACTTCATTGTATTTCTTTTGTTTGTGTATCATTTATTTCTTTTATATTTATTTATTTGATTTGTTGTAGACCGGACGGAAGCTTGTGTTTCGATCAGAACCACCACAAACCAAGCGCAAGGTGGACCGTTCAAAGGAAAAACAAAACAAGGAGGAAGAAGAGTTGCTATATTATTTCACTTAGCTCCAAATACAATTGGTTTAATTTTTAAATCTTAATTTGTAAATATACACATTCATAATATATCCGTCCATGTCATAAATTATGGGATGAAAACACCAAGCAGTTATATAAAAACTTGTTTGCTATTGAATATACTTCATAGTGTAATATAAATAAAATATATCCAAAATATATCTTCTGACTTTATTTAATACAGTACAACATTGTTTTAACATACAAAATATGCATCAATAATTAATTGACTTTAAAAATATTTTTCAGATTTGAAGATGTACAGTATATATTAAGTATGGTAATACACAACATAAATTTATGTATCAAATATAAAAAAACATGAAATCATGCTTTGTTGAATGAACTTTGGAAAGATTTTGAAGGTCCAACCACACCTACTTTGCTCTCTTCTTGAATATTGAACCCCGTCGGCAAGTTTTAGCACCACCCCTGCAGAAGTATCCACACCCAACTTGGTGTCAGTGGTTTGAATTGAGTTGGCAACTCGAAATATCACTCTCAAACGAAAGTGTCTTAATTTGACACATTTTATTTACATCAAATATTTTTGTGAAAAAAGTAAGTGGGAACTGCAAATGCCAGGCGAGTCTACACTCACCTCAACCACACTATGGTTGGAGCTGAACGAAAAAAAAAAGATTTAGATGGAACTGAGATGAAAAATTTAGGGGGTGTGGCAACTCTAAATGTTCGGAAATAATATTAAACTTCAGATATTTTTAGTGCCTTAATTTGACTTAATATTTTTATGTAGATCAAAAAATGTTCTTGTGAAATAGTTTTGAAAAGGGTTGGGAATGTTGATTGAAATAAGTACTGTATTAGGATGTGCAACTCGGGCTGTGAGTCGGATGACAAAGCGGTTATGTTGGGGCGCTGCAACCTATAGCTATATAATCTGCGCTGGCTCTCATCTGGTTCTGGAGTTGAATTAAGTCTTCTCAAATAAGAACAGATAAGATTCCTTGAAGATGTCGCGCCAGGATGTGGCAGGCGGGGAAGAGGTCCGATGTCGGGCGTCACTCAAAGTCTCTTGGAATTGGTCCTGGGGTGGGTGGGGGGTTCAAAGGCTTATTTAATTTATTTTAGATTCTAATATTAAAAAGTACAGCTCTTCCCGACGGGAAGAGACTCCATGTTCATGCTGTATGTAACCATCGTGTTGCAACACATATTAGGTTTATCAGTCAAAATAATTCCAGGGGCATTTGCTTACCTAACCTGCTTTCCATTCAATAAAATAATTAGAAAAATATTTTTATGTGCGATGATTACTAAATACTGTACAATTACGACAACTCACTTGCTGCGTTCCCAGGATTTAATAACTTTTTTGCAGAATTTTGTGTAGAATTTGTAAAATATTTACTACTAATTTGTTGGTAGCCACTGTGTGTGCAGAAACATGGAGATCCATGTAATTAAAAGTATTTCTTTCACCACTAACTAGTTCCTTGGCCTCAAAAACATAGATACCCATATCATCATGATATGACTTCAGATAAAAAGGTTATGACCCTTTTCACATAGGCCTATTTTAACCGTCAAAAGGCCACTTTTCCCCTTTCCCCCTTTTCAATTTCTTGGCCCTTGATTGTCCCATTTTCCGACCGATTTTTTTAAAAAGGGTTTTAAAATGTCCCAAGACAATAAACTGCTTCATTTTAGACATGTTCATTTGGTATCTGAAATATCACCTTTTTTTTACGGTGTACGGTAAGAATGGCCCCGGAAAAAATGGCCCCGGAAAAAATGGCCCCATATGATGAGAGGTAGGTAAAAATGGCCCCAATGAAAAATTTGGTAATAGAAATGATATATATTTTTTTAAATCTTCAAATATTTAAATACTGTATAAGCAAAAATTGAATCAAGAAATAAAAAATGGCCCTCAATTATAAAATTAAAGAAAAAAAAAAAATAAACAACTGTTGTAAAATACTAATTCCAGGGGCATTTGCTTATCTAACCTGCTTTCCATTCAATAAAATAATTAGAAAAATATTTTTATGTGCGATGATTACTAAATACTGTACAATTACGACAACTCACTTACTGCGTTCCCAGGATTTAATAACTTTTTTTGCAGAATTTTGTGTAGAATTTGTAAAATATTTACTACTAATTTGTTGGTAGCCACTGTGTGTGCAGAAACATGGAGATCCAGGGGCAAATGGTCATTGCTATATAAAATGATTATTTGACCACTGTAATTAAAACTTTTAAGTATTTCACTACTAACTAGTTCCTTGGCCTCAAAAACATAGATACCCATATCATCATGATATGACTTCAGAAAAAGGTTATGACCCTTTTCACATAGGCCTATTTTAACCGTCAAAAGGCCACTTTTCCCCCTTCCCCCTTTTCAATTTTTTGGCCCTTCATTGTCCCATTTTCCGACCGATTTTTTTTTTAAAGTGTGTCAAAATGTCCAAGACAATAAACTGCTTCATTTTAGACATGTTCATTTGGTATCTGAAATATCACCTTTTTTTTACCCTGTTAGCCTTAACATTACAGTGCGTATTATCATTTTATGCATATTTGAGCTAGTTTTAAGAAGCAATGTTGAGTTTTAGACCACTGGCTATGAATCAGAAATTCTTTGGAGAGCTGTTTTTAAAGATTAGGAACATAAGGAAAGGCCAAATAACATAGGAGGAAATAAAATCTTTCTTTATGTGAAATAAATTGTAAATTTTGTTTTATTTACAGTATATGCTGCTCAGATTTTTTTCGCCATGTGTTATAAACAGTTTCAATTAGGCGAATAAAAGAACATTTTTTTTGAAATGGTTGTCCCATGTTGTCTTTTGGAGGCATACGTTTAACTTCGGTCTGCTTAGAGGTTTCAGGTTCGTTTACCCTCTAATTATGCTGTTTGGAGACCACTTCTAGACCGTGGTCTGTAGAGGTTTTTAATTCGAGACCGAACCCCGAGATCGCCCCAAATTTTACAACCAGGCTATTAAAGGAGTTTTCTTAACACATCTATATTTTAATGTACATAGCTCTGAATATTGGCACTCATTTCAGGAGACAATTGATAATGCAGTAATAAAACCTTGTAGAAACATGCAAATAACGTTAATTTGCTGGAGGATTAATTTCCTCGATGATTATTGCCTGTTCGCGGCGGGAGTGTGGAGGCCTCCACTCCGATTTCCAGATACCATCCCGCGACTCTACAGGAGACCAGATTTCTGTATTGGCACTCCAATGTGGAATTTAGATTTCTCTATTTAGAGCGAAATTAGGAAGAAAGGTTAAATGTGTTTAAAATGGATGTAAAGTTAATGCATGCTGTTATTTATTAATAAAACATTTCATGGTGACCAGACATCAAGTCACGTCCTCCTTTTTTTACCAAACAACACTAATCGTTATTCAACACAGGACTCTGTATAAACAAACTTATAAATGATACTGAAAAAAAAGGCCTCGAAAAAATTGCCCGGTAAAAAAAACAATGACAATGACAAAAATATTTATTTCCTTTGAGCATAAAAAATTTACGAAAAATATAAATGTACAACATTTTTAAAGATCAAAGAAAATGGGAAATTCCTGAAGTATAGCTTGTAAATGGAAATCCCAAATTACATAATTAAATATTTCTTTTACATATAAGGTTAAAAAATAATTCAAAGGCCTATTTCACTTAAATTAAAGAAGTTTAAAATTTAATGGAAAAATTCTATTTCTTTTCTGTAAATTATATTTTGTATTCATTAATAATAACATCTTAATTACTTTTAGTTTCTTTATATTTATAGACGATTAAGCCATAAAATAAGTACAGTGTTTACAATCTAAAATAATATAAGAGAAAATTTGTAAATAAGTTAATCTGACTTCCTATAACTGTAATATCTTCTTACTAATAACAGCTAAGTTTTAATAATAAAAGAAAATGTTAAATCGTTATACATATATATACCTATATAGATACCTATATATTCATACATATATATAAACATTTACATACCCATACACATATATACATACGCACATACATACACGCATACACCCCTACATACACCCATACGTACATACATACATACACCCACACACACACATACGTAAATTTATTGTTGTTAAAGTGAAAATGAAATTTTTTGGGCAATACGGTATATAAAAATACACAGAATAACATTCTAAATTATAGCAAAACACAGATTTCCGCTATAAATCTAAATTATATTTACCTAATAGATTCTTTTTGTATATTTTTTTTAATAAAATAGTATTTCTAAAAACTTTAATACTGCTAGGTAGACTATTCGATAGACTACCTCCTTTATTTGTCAAGCACATTGATTTCAGTGTAGTTGTCCTATAATTAATACAAAAAATGAAATGTTCCTGCTGTCGGGTAGCATAATTATGCATTTCCGTGATTGGCCTAAAATACTCCAGGATAATTGGCGGAAGCAATTTCTTATGTGCTTTATACATAATAACAGCAGTGTTCAATTCAATAAGATCGAAATATTTAAAGTTTCAAACGAGTAAAAAATAGGTTTGGTGTGGCATAAGTAATCTGCCTTTGCAACAGTTCTGAGGACTTTTTTTTTTGCAAGAGAAATAAAAATTCTAACGTTGATTTATAAGTGTTTCCCCACACTTCACAACAGTAGGTCATATAAGGCAACACTAATGAGTTATATAAGGTAAATAATACTTTGCTTTCTAACAGGTGTTTTAATTTATAAATTATACTAATGTGTTTGGCAAATTTTGTTTCTATTAATTTAAAATGACTCTTCCAGTTTAATTTACAGTCTATTTGCACGCCAAGAAATTTTTTACTGTAGACCCGTTCAAGTTCAACACCATTTATAGTTATATTCGTTTCATTAATTACATTTTTAGAATAAAAAATCATATAATCACTCTTCTTAATATTTAAAGAAATTTTTTTTACTGCAAACCATGTGGACAATTTATTTAACTCCATACTTACTAAATCACATAGTTGTTGTAAGTTTTTACCGGAGCATGTTAGATTAGTGTCATCTGCAAATAAGATATAACTAAGAAAAGGAGATACTCGATAAATATCATTTATTATTTAAAGAGTTAGGTATACTTTCTGTAATTTATTAATACACCACTTTTCACAGTAGCTTCAAGTTCTGAAGTGAATATGTTGTCAATAAGAGATGCACTTGTCTCAGTTACCCTTGTTGGTTTTGTTATCAATGGAAAAGTGCCATCACTAAATAACAGGTCAGTGCCGGATCCAGAACCAAATGGTGGGGGGGGGGGTAACATGCGAGCTTGCTCGCATGCCGATCGCGCGCAGCGCCCGAGGGGGGAGGGTGTGGGAGTGGGTGTCCTCCTCCCACGGTGTGGAAAATTTTTGAAAATGACATTGTAAAGATGCAAAATTTAAGCATACAATTACTACATAAACTAGAATTTTAGAGCCTTTATTTACATGTTACATGTTAACCTACATGGCTGATTTTTACATTTTGCTTGCTCAGGAAATTCTAGGGGGTGCAATTGCCCCTTTTGCCCCCCCCCCCACCGGATCCGGCACTGCAAGTTTAAGAAGTAGTTTGTATTCCAATTTTTTTCATAAATTAAAAGATCAATATTGATCACCACATACAAACATTTTCTTGCCTCTTTTTTCCTGTAGAATATTAGAAATTTGTTCATTAAATAACACCAAGTCAGTTCCAGGAGTCCGAGATACAGCTTATTACTATGTTTCTTTTCCTGTCACCGACAATTTCAACTGAGACGCATTCTCAACAGTTTGGCCGTTGAAATGTTAACTTCGGTAACGGTTTATGTTTAATGGTTCTTTTAACAAAAATTGCAACACCACCCCGGACTTTCCTTCCCTTGAGATGTAATATGATTGGTATCCATCCATGTGGTAACTATTATTTCCTTTAGCCCATGTTTCGGATAAAGTTATAATATCAAATGATACGTTTAATGTATGTAGATAATGAACGACTTTTTCAAAATTAGCAGACATACTTCTAAAATTGAAATGTATTAAAGACAACTCTTTATTTTTCTGATAATCAGTAATTGACTTAAATTGTTGGTCCGTATAATATTGACAATCAAAATCTTATTTTATTATAAAAATATATATCCGGATCAATATTCACATCACAATCTATATGCATAAAAAGAAAAATGTTTAAAGATTAAAAGTGGAAAATGAGGAATCAGCATTTTTTGTAATTACCATTAATTTGGCTAGAGGGAAAATTTCGCACAATCCTTAAATTTGATGGTACCACATCTTCTCTCCCCGCTAGAAATATGCTTAGAAAAGTACTATAGTTAAAAATCACTTTATACAGTTACTTGTTACTTGTTATTGGTATAGTGCCTTACTTTTCAGTTACGAAGCGCTGAAGTTCTTTTTCCCTGGTCATTGGGTCCCCATTTATACTCCTGGGTGAAGAGAAGCAATGCTCAAGTCTTGCTCAAGGACACAAGGGAAATGCACAGCGAGGGATTGAAACCCCGACCTCGAGGTTGGGGTTTATGAATTATGGAATTATGAGTTGCGCTCATAATTGACAATTGCCGTCATGTTTTAAGCTAACTCTTCTACTTGTAGCAAAAGAATCCAGTAATTTACTTTCAGAGAAAACTACCTTCTAAACATTCGATTCATAATTACTAAACAGCAATTTAATGTAATGTAGTTCGAATTATATAGTACTTTATACCGGAGTCTCAAAGCGCTGTGGACTAGCTCGTACAGTAACGTTCTTCTCCTTTAAGGGTCTCTTCATGTCTCAGCTACCCGGTAAATCGGTACCAGCTACTATCGTCTGTCCACAACAGGGAATATATGGACCATCAGTACACCGGGGTAACCCCTCTGCTCGTCTCGAAATGTACTGGGTCCAAAGTGAACACAAGCCCAATTGCGTACACTACTGGGCCTACGGTTCATAGTCCTTATCCGAGAAGACTTGTTCCACCACCAGAACCATTTGTGCAAAAAGTATTTTCAATGTTTGGTGTCACAATATATTAGCCTCCTATGTTCTTCTTCATGTTGATGTTTTTGTTGTTGGTCATTTGTTTGTTACCACAATAACTAAAGTTTGGTAAGTCGAATTAGTTTCAAACTTAGCTGTATGCAAGATGGTAATAAGAAGACGGAGCCTATTGTTTTTTGTACGTGTGTGAATATGCTAATTACACATTTGCATAATTAATATTTCACTAATCAGGTAATTTAGGCTATTTACCATGATAACTAATGTTTAGTAAGTTTGATTGGTTTCAAACTTGGCAGAATGCGAGATGTTAATAACAAAATGAGCCTTGTTTTTGGTACGTGTGTAAATACGCAAATTTCTCATTTGCATTGATTAATATTTCACTAATCTGAAATTTATGCTAAATACCATCATAATTTCCACCCTCCTCGTCGTCGCTGTTGTAGTAAACTGTTTGTCACCACGATAGCCAAAGTTTGGTAAGATTGGTTTCAAATACTTTTCAATTCTCAGAAAAATAAAACCATACCGTGGGAAGGCTATGCTTTTACTGCGCAGCGTAAAAGTAGCATTTTTTTTTTCAAATTTACATTAATACTAATATAAAGTAGCTTAACTTTGAAGGCAAGATTACTGAAACAACTTAACTGTATTAACTGTCAACATAAACATGCAAAATAACCCGCATTTCCCATTAAAGTGTAAAATAAGTTGCATTAAGTGTAACTTATGCATGTGCTTGATAATAAACATGGGTCTATTTTCGTCACATCACACATACAAATGTTATGATTTTAACTGACAAACGGTACAATGACTCGTTCTGATGTGGCCACACCCGATTAAACCCTGTCCATTCCACCAAATTTTATCTGACCAAAGCATGTGACATATGCCTAAATTTTGCGAAGATCCCACAAAACGGTGTCACTCATTCTCACTTGTTAAGTTAAGACGAAGGGATTGGTGACTATTAATTTCCCCCATTTTTTAATTTTTTTTTTTTTTGATAATCGTTGAGTAGGCCTACAGGTATTTATTCACTTGTTACTTAACTACTGTACAATAATGCCGGAACCAAGGTGGCCAAGGCCTGTAATTAGGCCCCGGACTAATCTTAAATATTAAATTAATCTTAAAAAACGAAACTAATCTTAAATGCCAAAAATAACAAAAACAAATCACAAAACAAACAAGCAAGTCGGTATCATGGTATGATCATGCGATACTTCCATCTTGTGGCGATTTATCAGCCTTTGCTGCAGCAGGGAAAACAACAAACAAAGTAATCTTTGTAAAAAACATGTGATATTCCTAAATATGGTTATCACATCATGACCATATATAGGCACTCTATTCGGCATAGAATAATTTTTTTGTAAAACAAATTGCTAGTCCAAATTGATTGGGCTAAATGTTGCTGTAAAAATCCCACACAACGACGTCACTTAATAAGACAAAAGGATTGAAGATTATATAAGTACGATAATACGATAGTTTCATTTTGTGGCGATTCATCAGCCTTTGCTAACAACCTTTGATGCAAAGGAGAAAACAACAAACGTAAGCAATCATTTTATTAATATGTTTTGTCTTTACTATATTTTTTTTGCAGTGAAAGAAAATATATGTCTCATTGAATTGAAAAAATATGTTTTACTTGTCTTTTTTTACTTCATAATTTTGTAATGATATTTTTTACTTTATAATTTTTATATCAGTTCTCATTATGTCAATTATAATTTCTATTATTATCATTATTATTGTAATTATTATTAGTGTATAGTATTAGAATTAGTATAAGTATTAGTATAAGTAATATATAGTATTGTATTAGTATTGTTACAATTAGTATTAGCATTAAGTATTAGTATAAGTACCGTATTAATATAAGTATTAGTATTTGTATTTGTATTAGTACTATTAATAATAACAATAATAAGCAATTAGTAGAGCTCCGCATAGTACACTATAGGAAAATTTTTATACGAAGCTTAGATTATGCTTGAAAAAATTAACTAAACATACTGTACGGATACAATGAACAACTGGCCTAGGCTATTTTGTAATTTGTTTAGAAGAACTTGTTTAATTTTTCACATTCGTCAAAGAAATAAACATTTTTCAAAGCATTCGAGAGAGAATAGTCACTGTCACTAACTTTTTGGTCGGTGCAGACAGGCATCTTGGGATGATTTCATAACTACGCTATGCTATACAGCCTAGGATAGTATTAGGAGGAGGCCTCGGTGGCTCTCTAATTTCGTTCCTTGAGTCTTTAAAATAGGTCCAGAATATTCCTATTAAACGTTCAGTTTGTTTAGAGTATTAGGGTTCATTGATTCAAGGAATTGCTTAATTGTTCACACTTTATATTGAATTTAAAGTAACTTTCTTCGGGTTCTAATTAACCTTGGTTTACGAAAGTAATTTTCAATTACAATTCAATTTTTATCGCGGTGCACGGTGTCTTCGCGGTGAAGAAAAAAATGAGGATTTTTTTTTCTTTTTTGCACACGAACCTAAAAAATCAAGCCAAGCGTCCACTGTGAACTTACCTTTGCCTCTCTCCACCCAGGGGTATTATAAGGTACCTGGTAGGATAGTGTGGCATTGAACGTATGTGGCTGTGCGTGTAAGCAGCATGACAAGGGATCTTCCCAGGGAGCAGAGAAAGTTGCACAAAACTGTGCTGGTTTGTCAACTAAGTATCCCGTGACCAGGGAAATACGATGCCAGCGACCTTGTATATTCTCAGGAATGTGAAAGTCGCCGTACAAATTCGGATTCTAAAAAATAAATAAATAAATGATGTTATATGTTTGTTTTCCTTATCATATTATTTGTAATATGCACCTTATTTTTACTGTGTGTATTTTAAAGTTATAAGCTTATATGTTTTTTCTGCTTTTATCGCTTGCATGATCCCACCCCATGGCTAAGCACACAAATGCTACTGAAATGCTGTTATAGTTTGAATTAATATGTTGATGTTAGTGCAATAGAAATACAGGCCTATTAGGAATTTCAATTCAACATTTTCTTGCACAAAACATATCCATCTGTTTGTGACAGTTCTATTTCTATTGCATCTGTTTGGGACATTTTGACTGCGTGTTATCCTGTGTTTTGGTATGAAGGGAGCGATAAGGGTGTATTTACGTCCCTCTAAAAGGGTTACCGTAAATGCTCGAATAAGCGAAGTGGCGCTAATGGAAATTATAATGTTATAATGTTGTTGTGTGTAATGAAAAACTTTGAGAACTAAAGCCTCCAAAACATTTTATAAGCGCCAAACGCGATTATTCGAGCATTTACGGTAGCCAACTAATAGGCCAAGAAGCCGCATAGGCCTATCTGCCACACTATACATTCCCTTACTGTGTGTCACATCCATGAGCTCTCACGGACTAAAGCAATGTCCCCCCGTACATTAAGGTGCCCTGGATATTAATGGGCATTTATATTTTTTGCCAGAACCATGGGCCGATCGGGCCCTAATGAGCAGAATATGTACAAAACACAAAAGACACCTTTAAAATGTCAAAAATACCATAGTGGACGGGAATTTGGACCCCCACTAGCCTTCAGGGTAGGGCCCGTGAGGCCTCAGACTTAAATTACTCCACTGCATCCTATGTATAATAATAATAATAATAATAATAATAATAATAATAATAATAATAATAGTAATAATAATAATAATAATAATAGACCTAATAAAAATAATCATCCTACCTATAATAATACTAATAATACTAATAATAATAACAATAATAATAATAATAATAATAATAATAATAATAATAATAATAATAATAATAATAATAATAATAATAATAATACAATAATATAATATGTTAGCCTCTTTGTATGATTTCGGTTTGATCAATTAGGTAATTTCTGATGTGGGTTCTAAATTCAAATGCATTATATTCTAGCTGAGAACTGCAAAGAAAACATTGATTGCAATTTTTTACGCTCTGTCCAGAATATCAAATTATATTGGACAAAAACATGGGAATAATAGGCACATCATGACTATATAATAATATAGGCATACGGAAGGTTGTTGTTTTTTTTTTGTCAAAGAAAATTTGATAGTCTGACAGGGCCTTTAGAACGTATATTACGTCTAATAAACCCATATTCTTTATCGATTTTCCAACGCGATAAATGATAATTAATTAATGTATTTATTATTTTTAATTTGGAGACCAAGATACCTCTGTTATGTTTTCTGTTTTCTCTTTATGAATAATTTCGCTTCGCATTAAATGATAATTTTCACTTTCTATACCATGTTTCTCTAATCAACTAATACGGTGTTTGTTACGTACGATCATCATTAACATTTGCATTAATCATTAGGTTTATTCTGTATGAATATTATTAATATTATTATTAATGAAGCAATTGTTTCTCTTTTTTAATTCGTTAGGTGTTACCAGATCCAGAAAGAATTAATAGGCGTATTTTCGTTGTGACAAGTAACGCACACTATCATTTGAAATGACCCCAGTGACAAAAAATTACACCATAACTGTATTCGGAGATTGTCATCTTTTTAACAGACCAAATTCCACTTCCATCGCATTCTCATTTGAAGTTGAATTCAATTGCACTGTGCTGTATCTGTTTACTTGTATCCAGATTGTTTTATTTATAATTGGATGTACTGGAAATGTCATCGTTCTTTTCTTGATTCGCCGATGCAGACAGTTACGAGGTGCACCCGTCCTTCTATTAGTAAACCTTGCAGTAACCGATCTTTTCGTCTGTTTAACGTATTTCCCATTGTTCATATATGCTACTTTGCAACCTATTGCATTTCCGACTTCCCCCTTTCTGCTTTCTACGAAGGCGTATTTAGTTATGTTATTCTTGGAATTCCAATCACAATTATGTTCAGCCCTGACAATCGCATCTATTAATTTGGAGAGGTACGGTAGTATGCTTAATACCTGTCTCTTATACACATCTAGATGTGTATAAGAGACAGGTATTTGTATTTGTACTCCCCAAGTAGAGGAGGATGCTGTAAATTGTATATGAGTGTGTTTCTTGGTGTAGAAAAACAGTTTCTTAAAAATATTATTTTCTATGGCAGTAGAAACAAAAGTCCAAGAATGGAATCTTTCATTGTGCCAAAGAACCAACCTTTCGTACCAAAGTAATATTATGTCCAGAAGGCCAAGAAAGATTTTTTATGGCACAGTATTTATTTTTATCTTGGTAATCTCATGATTACCAATGATTCAAGAACCATTGCTCTCTTAGTAGAAACATATCGTAAGATTGATTCAGTATCCTCTAACTATATATAATTATGTATGTATATATTACCAAATGGACGGTGTAACAGCAGACATGCAATAAATCTCACAACAGCTTTCAAAGATACTGTTTAGGCTGAGCCTAACTGTTTTATTATAAAAATTCATGGTACAAACATGTTTCAGCAGTTCAACTGCCATCTTCGGTGTAAAAATGCTTATAAGCACTAAAAGTATTTTTTGAACAAATGCAGTGAAAGTTTATGGTAAGTATGCGAACTGAGACGAATTAAAAAGGCATGCATAAAGATGAAGAAGTACATAAGGCCAGATGGTAGGCGAATTTTTAAAATAAAACAGTTAGGCTCAGCCTAAATGGTATCTTTGAAAGCTGTTGTAATTTTATTGAGATATATGTATGTATGTAGGCATGTATGAATGCATGTATGTATGTATGTATGGGTGTATGCATATGTGTATGTATGTATGTATATATATATAATAATGATATTAATAATAGCTATGAAAACACTAACTATAGAACAATGATAATAGTAATACTAATTATGACAATTTATACAGGTACGTATCCATTGAATTTTTTTAATAATTATTTTAAAATTTTATTCATAAAAACAATATTTTAATAACATCATTAAACTTTCTATAGGCCTAGGTTTTATCCAAAAAACAAAGTATTTAATTTGCAACGTTAGCTATAGTGATTATAATTGTTCATGTCCTTCAAAAATTAATATTCACTGTTTATTATAAAAACAAGTTAGGAATACATTTCAGGTATAATTGAAATAATTGTTTGAGTAATGCTATTTTAATCTTACTTTAAACAAAAACATAATGTAACTAAAAATATATCGACAATTTTAAAAGCGTCATTTGGGGTAGAGCATACCACAAAGGGATTTAATGAGTTAACTGAGTTGTAAACTATTCAGAGTCATATTTTTAGAGAAAAAAAAGCTGGTAGTACTGCGAATACCAGTTCGATCATTTCTAGTGGATCTGTTGGGGCTTCGCTCAAATAATACTGGACCAAGATCTTTTTCTGTTGCTGTAGAAACTTATATAGGTGCTAGCTTGGATTTGTATTTTTGCCTGTATTTTATATGTACGTTTATTATCTGTCGACATACCAGACTTAGTCAAGTCTGATTGTGTTTTTCTATTTTAAGATGCTACGTTTTGATATACCCACTTAGAGTTCACACTGTCATCACTTTCAAAAGAAAACTATTAGTTACAGGAAGTATCTGGGTGATTTCGATCTTGTGTTCAATTCATGTTTTGTTTATGGTAAGTAGCTGATAGATTAACTGCCAGTATTTTTTATAAACAGTAGTTGATACAGTGATGGCACCATGATCTGCCCGCCTAAGGGGCTGGATGCCTAACAGGGAAGGGGATAGACAAGTGAAGTGGGCATTTTAGCTAAGGGCCGCCTTGGGCTCCTGATTAGTCAAAGGGCGGAGTCCCCAGATACGAATATACGGATATTGGACGAATTTTCATGAATGAATATTAGTTTTTTAATGTACTGGCTTGAGAATGAAGTGGAGGAGATTCCATATTTTTGTAGGGTGTTGTAGTTTGAACTTACCCCCGGAGCTAACACATATGCTAGGTTTAGATGACCGATATAAAAGATTTCTGGGGAGGAAACCAATTTGGGAAAAAATGCATTTACAATGGATTCTAACTCAAGATAACTATATTATAAAAGGTGGACAATAACTTGGTTGGTAGGCTATTGCATATTTATGTCTAGATGTGGTCCTATCCAGTGTGGGTCCAAGAATTTGAAATAGAGGGACCCAGAGAGGACTTTCAAATATTGATAGTGCTCTCTCTGTTCTGCAACTGCTTTGATAGAGTGGGGGACCCAAATTTATTTGGGAGACGTGCTCCCCTTCTTCCTAAAAACCCTGCTAATGGTAAATACTTGCACATATGTTGGTCATTCTAAATATTAATAGTGAGAATCTTGTCTCTAAAATTGCTTTTGCTTATCAACATCTTTCTGTAGATACAATGGATTATGTTTTTGAATGATGAGTTTGACTTGTGGCAACCTTTAACACAATTTATAATTCCGGCAATCATCGTAGTAGTATCTTGTGTCATTACATCTGTAACACTTGTTAAAAGAATACAGAGTAATCGTTTACAAGAGTCCAGCCAAAGTAACATGTCTACAAAAAATCCAAAAAAGGTAAAAGTTAGACCTGTAATCTAGCTTATTTGAATCAAATGCGTTTACAATATCTGTTG